ATTCCCCAGCCAGCATGGCTGGCTGTGGAATTCTGGGAGTTGAAGTCCACCCATCTTAAAGTGGCCAAGTTTGAAAAACACTGGTCTAAATGGTTTCTTGTACACTGAAGAGGGTTGGACTACATGACTCTAGCGATCTTTTCTGATTCTACAAATCTGATCCTGTGCATTTGTTGCTAGATTTAAATGTGGTATGTTAAGCAACTCTTCGTGCTGTATTAACGTTTGACTGTTTTAAAGACTGATTTTCTATGTTACACTCTTGTGCTGCAGTTAGATGAATGTGAATTGTGAGACTCTTATAAGCTGCATTATGTGTGTAATATATTTACTTTATAAAGATTTGGAACCACAATCATGAAATGGTGAAACAATAGGGAAAAACCTGTTTTTTCTGTAATAGCAGGGCTTGTGTTTTGCAACTATCTCAATTTCTGTTTGGCTTCAGGGTCTCCTGCGACTTCAGGGCTGCACCATCAGAGAAGTGGCTTCTGGTTGTGATGACGCTGGAAGGTTCATCTTTGAAATCATTCCAGGTCAGTAACAGGGAGCTCATCTCGTCTCGTCTTGTGTCAGAAAGGCAGGAACTGAAAAGGGGAAAATTATTAATCTAAATTTAAAAATGAAAAACTTTAATAAAAATATGGATTTATATGATTCTTGCCCAATGCCGGGCCACGTTGATGGCAAAAGTATTTCCAGCCAGCAAGTCATTACAGTTTGACCTGGTCCATATGGGCTAGCAAACACATGCTTTGATAAACCATGGTTAATTGCATGGATATGGAAACTTTGCTGACCAGGATTGCTGACATACCTGTCCTCCTTGTTCTGAGGACAAAAAGATGAAAAGTGACCCCTGTCCCTAGTGTATAATTCAGCGAATTATAATTGTGTGCATTTGCATAATGCAATTTGTCATGGTTTGTTTAAGTATAATTTAATGCGTCAACCACAGCTGACTGGCTGCACTTGACACTCTTAGCCATAAATCATGGTTTACAAACTACTGCGCCATAACTAAGAATTCTGGAGGACCGTGAAAGGCCAAAGGGATTGTGCTTCAATCGTTTGCCTTGCTAGCAGAAAGAGAATCTGTGGAATGATAGAAGTAGAAATCACTGCTCCGTTGCTGAGTATAAAATCAGAAATGCTCACACAGTGCCTTTCTTCTAGATAGCTGTACCAACTGACCCGTGGCTTGCACTTGCCTGCTTCTTAAGTTTTCTGGCCTTAACGTTTGGGTTTAACTGGGTTTTCATGTGGTTCTATCATTTTTTTAAACTGTCTTTTGTATGTCGTTTATTGGTTGTGCTGTTTAGTTGTTTTTAATTATGTGATCGGCCCAGAGTCAGAAATGTTAGAAGTTATACAAATCAAATGAATGAATGAATGAATGAACATATTCTTTTTTTAGAAAATTTCTGTAAAGTTCTGGAAGCATAACATGCCACCTTAATGCCAATCATCAGATTAGAAGCATTAATCTATTTGAACATATTGTGGGAACAGGGCCGTATCGTGCCTATGCCTAAATCACCCATTTCTGCATAAAGGAAGAAAATGTTCATCAACCTCTGCTCAGACTAACTCAGGTGTTTTGGGGAGGGAACTGCAGAGGAGCCAGGAAGACGCTGCTGATGCGTGTCCCACTCAAGCAGCACGTGCCAAGGCGCCTCCTTCTCTCCACATGGACCATCCCTTGCTCTGAAGGAGGGGAAAATAGACAAGAGACTAATAAAACATAGTCTGATGGCTAAAGGAGGATAGTAGCATAGAATCATCAAATCCAGAATGTAAATTTGGGAGGACCGTGGAGACCAGTTAGCCCAACCCCGTGTCCAATGCAGGCACCCTTGTCCAGCTTCTAATTAAACCCCTCCAGTGAAGGAAAGTCTACCCTTCCAAAGGCGGTTTATCATCTACATGCTCCTTAAAAGAGCCTGAATGAGTTGTGTGTTAAATGGTCAGGCTGGAAGTGAAGATATAAAGTAAAAATACAGGGGGGCATTGCTACAGGAAAAATGGTGAGTCTTCAAGCTCACCATCTTTTATTTCTTTAAAAGATTTGTATGGCTGCCATTTTAAAGCCCACAACAACAATGAAACCACAAAACCATAACATTTGCCTCTTAAGCATATGCACACTTCCTTTTGCTAATTTATCTGCAGCTGTTGGAGAACCAGAATGGAAAGGGATCTTTCGGTGTCCTGTCCAGCCTTCCTCATAGCTGCTGATTGGACTTAATCCAGTTTGGAGTTTGGCCTGATCAAGGACAGCCATTATGCTCTTGCAGCCTGTGTGAATCTGTGTTTTCTCATTCCAGAACTGTCAGGGGTGTCCTCAGGGAATGGTCAAAAGAGTCAAGATGGTGGCCATGACGGAACCATCAAAGTGCTGCTTGTTAAGGGCATTGCAATGCACGTAAAACAGATGGAACTTGGATCACACCGTTGCGGCTGCCATCTTGACTTTTTTGACCTGAGGACACCCTTTGTGGAAGTAGCTGTAACTGGTCCTGGGTTTGGGGGAGACCCAAAGCTCACCGGTGTTTTCTTTGCAAACAGTCTGGGCTGTCAGGAGGCAAATTTGCTACAGGGGTAAAATCTGAAGAAGAAACCTGTACTTTCCCTGCAGAAAGAGAAATTGTGGTGCTTTTTAAAGGCAGCTTCCAAGTTCATTTCAGCAACATTGAGAATGCAGATGGCAAAGCAAAGATAGTTAGGAATGATGCGTTCTTGAAAAATATACTTGGGTAGCATTACTGTAAATAGACGGTCATGCCCGTGTTTTAAAATAAAACGCTGGCCCTCTATAAATGTGGGACGAAATTGGTCTTTGGGGAGAAACAGTGTTGGCTTCCCAGCAGATTTCTGTCATATTTACCCACCTTAAAACCCTGTTGGAGGAAACACACCACTTAGCTGGAAAAACCATCAAGAGACAGTATTTTCCTTCTTTCTTCAATTGCTTTATTGTATTATAAAATGCATGTAATTCTGTACATCGTATTACTTGGGTACAGTGGTATTTATTCTGTATTAACTAGAGATGATTAACGCTATGATGATTTAGATAAAAAAGGTGACATTAATATTGACTGTGGTTTCCAAAATGTTAATGCTAATCGACATAAGGTGGTTGTTGGGGGGAAAATTGGAGGCAGGGGCATTAGGTTGGTTTGAGTTATATATCTAAAAAAGGTGGGATAAAAATATAGTAATCATAATAACCTTCTATCTTAAGATTATACTTAATACCAAGGTCTCCATTGCACTGCTACTTGTTGTTTATACATATTAGAAAAGAAAAAAAAGAAAGGAAATAAAAAAAAACGAAAGGGAAAAAAAGCTGCTTGAAAAATAGAGAGGTGTTTGGATTCCAACGTCCCCTTTCTTTATACCTCGATCAGTTTGCTGAATTTATAAACCCGTGGGCCCCTTAGAAACCGTACTGTGTTTATTTTGCCTTGCTGCATGACATACCTTAAGCATAATTTGCTTTTCCCGCTCTGCAGGGCTCTCCGGAGACCAAACTCGAACTGGACAGGACTCTTTTGTGCTGATGGCGAACTCCCAGGCGGACATGGAGGAGTGGGTCAAGCTGCTCCGGAGGGTGGTGGGCTCCCCCTTAGGAGGTAATTGCAGCCACCCTTCTCTAGGGCGGACCCAAGGGCCTTCTGCTCTGTGTTCACACCATCCACCCCAACTGGGCAGGCCGGAGAACGGTCCCCTTTGGATTGCCAGGGTGAGAATTTAGAGCAACCATTTCCAGGGCGGTGCTGAAAGTTAGGATCTGGCGAGGACGCCGAGGGTGCGAGGGCATTAGCGCAGTGCAACGTGTCGGTCAAAGTGCCAAATGGGCTGCTTTGGGAGCCGGAAATGTGTCTTGCATAAAATGGCAGGGCAAGGTTAAAAACACCTACGTGGAAGAGGGCTTGTCGTGACTTTTAACTTTCTCAGGAAATGTGGCTTAGCTAAATTCTTAGATTTCTTATGAGCCTCCTAAGTGGTTCATCCCTGCGTTGAGGGGGAAGCCTGACCACTCATTTCTGCCGCTGCTCTGGTGCACCAGCAAAGAGAGGACTGTAAAATTGCAGCCTTTCGTTTGCACCCAGCACAGTCCCGGTCAATCCCGATATGTAGCCAGCTGTTTATCTGGGGGGCATCAGCAATTGTCCAGACAGGTGAAATGGGACGAGAGCAGGGACAGGGCGAGATGAACACAGGCAAGAGATGAAAGGGCAGAGGACTGAAGATCAGCCATCTACATTCTCTAACTATCAAAAGGACCCAGAACTTTCTGGAGCCACTAGAAATAAGACTGGGAGCAACTAGCACAGACAGTCCCCAAAGTGATGGCCTTCGGTTGTTCTGGCTTCATCCCTTTTATTTAGGTAATGACAACAGAATAGAGATGGAAAGGAGGGCACCAGGTGATCCCTCCTCTAATTAGCAAGAAACCATTTGGTGGATGACAGTGACGTATTCAAGAGAGAGACAACGTCCAAACCCTCCTGGGCTTAGTCTTCCTTCCTGCCCTAATAGACTATGTGGGCTCTTCTTTTAGAGGGCTCAGCTGCCTCCATCTGTCCTCTGTTTCTGGAATGGTCAAATACTGGACTTCCA